GACTACTATGTTGTTGTTTTTTCTTATTTTAAAAATACTATTACGTTCTGTCAAAAAATAAAAATACTATTACACTAGCATAAGCACCTACTAAGGCTTAAGCCCATGATTTTGATGGATTCTGTTAGATACTGTAGTGTTTGTACGGTTTGTCTCTGAGCAGAGACGCATGATTGTCCTACTTGCCAGGATCTTCCTTTCATGTCTACAATCATATTCTTCCCATTCTCTGAATATTGATACATCCAATTTGTTTGCTACTATAGATTGTCCCTGGAATTCGAGCGTTAATTTCTGATTGCCCGTAGCTGAGTATGAGATCTAATAAATGGCACAAAGAAGAAAATTTAGAGTATATCATGAGCTATCTTTTGCTAAAGGAAATGCAACTTTAAATGTTTCAGGCAAAGTGCTTACAACTGAAAGTTTGGAAGTATTCTGGAAGTAAGGTGTTGAGATGCTTCACTTCCTGCATGTATTACACTGCAAGAAACTCAGCTGACAGGTGTAGCCTGTAACTAACTTCCCATTCCATTCCATGCTTGTTTATGATAAAAGAAAAGCCTCCACTGGTTGGTCTGAACTGAACTGCCTCTGCATGTGTTAGCTTGCTGCAGCTTCATTCTTTATACCTCCTGAAAAAGAAAACTAATTGCTCACCTCCTCCTATCCACAAACGAATAATCGTCTAATGATTGACCGCTGCAGAAGAAATGTAGCTACAATATCCAATGAATTGATCCCAAGCTCTGAACTGTCTGAATTATGTACTAATCATTGCAAAAGGGAGCAGATAGATACATTCGCAGACATATTTGTTTTTTTGGGTTCAGAGCTTTCTCGTTATCATGCGGATAATTCCATGAACCACCTACAGCTGGCAAAAAGGATTTATCTGAAGCAGTTAGGCAGTCACATTTCTTTCCTTTTCTCCTTTAATTTAATCTGTATTTTCTATTTTCTCTTCCCCAAGTGTAAATTGCATGCATATACATGTTGTGTATACGCAACAAACCTAGCTACCAGTGCAATACTAGCAGCGTGTCAAGTAGCTGACAGTGACCTTAAGTCTGCTTCTGCTAGTGATGTACCAGTAACCAAATTGACAGCTACAGTCTGAAGATAATGGATTTGAAAGCTGCAAGAAAGTTTTGCCCAATCGAGAGGAAAAATGATCTTTGAGCAAATTAGGTTTGAATTAAGGACGAGACTCAGGGCCCTTGAAAAGATAATGAAAAGATCATTTGTTAAGCAACCAAATCAAATGATTGGGGCTGGGATTATAGCCTCTGAATTGCAGCTGATTGCTTCGGATCGGAGGGGTCCCAATTACACCAATAATGACGGCTTTCCTTGAGCTTATCATGGATGGAGCAGGAAGAAAATTTGGGCATACAAAGGCGAGTTGTTGAGCACAAATTTTTAGCCAGATCAACCTCCCAATGATGGGGATTTGGTGCAGGATATCCTTTCGAGGTCGACATTGCCTTGCCCTACACTTCATCTGCAGCACTGCATGTAGCCATACTTCGATATAGGAAACATACACGCCATTTGTTTCTTCTTCCTTTTGCAGCAACCAATTTAGGTGGTGGCAACCTTAGCTTGCCCCAGCATGGAAGAAAAGGCAGGGAAAGTAAGATTGTATTTATATTTATATACTGGCAGTCATTTCTGTTAGAAAGGAAAAGATACATTCGGTCATAAACACTCGATGTTCTGGAAAATACCTAGTCAAAGTTTTAAAACTTTATCTGCCAATAAATTTTATAATATACTAAGTTTGGAAACATAAAACTCATATGTGTAGAATGTGCATATTTGCCTTTGAACTATTTTAACAATATCATTTTTTTTTACATTTCATGAAATATACTATAGTAGAAAATCCTGGTCAAAATCCCTCCTTGAAAATTGTAAAAAGTCAAGTAGTATTATTTACTGGAGGGAGTAATTCTCACGGACAAATACAAATATAAATTAGAAACATGCGCACAAAATTACTGAAATTTAATTTGTTAGTCGCAAAATTTTGTGATAGCCAAAGTTGAGATGTGAAAATTTTATATGAGTTACAACATTAATTTGAAAGTTATATACATGCACTGACATGGTAGTACTACTTGAAAAATCACTTATTTTTTGTAGACCATTGCTAGCGAGTAATCCCTCCGTTTCAACTTGTAAGTCGTTTTGTTTTTCTAGGTATATGGCATTTGCTATGCATCTAGATATATGTTGCGTCTATATATGTAATAAAAACTATATCTAGAAAAGCCAAAAACAAATGAAAGATGCATATAATTGAAAAGGAACATCGAGATGTACATAACAATGCTAAAATATAAACAGAAAGATACTCCCCCCGTCCTTAAAAAAGAGTCGCTATGGACTGGTCAAACTTTCTCAACTTTGACTAGATTTGTAGAAAATATGTGTAACATTTATATCTTCAAATTAGTTCATTATGAGAGTATATTCAATTATCTACCAAATGATACTAATTATGTACTATAAATATTAATATTTTGTTAAATATATTTGGTCAAAGTTAAAAGTCATTTGGTAGATCATTAATATGGGGCCAGTCAAACTAGTTCAAGTTTGACCAAATTTATAGTAAATAGTATTAATGTTTATGTCTCCAAATAAATTTATTATAAAAATATATCATATAACGAATTTAATGATACTTATTTTGTATCATGATTGTTAGTATTTTTTATATAAATTTAATCAAAGTTTTAAACCTGCTTGACTTACAAAAACGAATTGCGTTCTTCTCGTAGACGGAGGAGTACTTCAATGTTCAGTACTTGCATACACCAGGTGTCTCAATTTCTATGACGATCCAGTTGTGTTTGTTTGACCAAACAAGGAGGCAATGGCGCTTGACTGTGAGAAGCCTGAAAAGAGGAAGGAATTGAAGGACAAATGCTCAAGAATCTGGATCCAGTACTGCATTGTTTAAGCCACCTTTAAACTTTTCGATCTCAGTGGCTTTTCCTAATCTATCGAGGTTGACCTCAGCATCACATGGGCATCAGGGCATGGCTGCTTAATCTTCATACTGTGCATGTGGATCTCATAGGTTCAGAATCATTCCCTGTAGTCACAAGCCTCACATGGAGTAGTAAACTCTCAAGAACACAAACAGTTCCAGTCAACTCTTTATCTGCATATATATGTGATACTTGTATGTGAGATTACTGTCTAACGGTCGGCAGGAACCGTGAATCTGGTAAAAAAAAAGAAAGAAAGAAAACAAGAGCACCCATCATTTAGTATTCACTGTAATTGTTGTTATTCACATTGCAGATCTGGTTTACGAAGCGAGATAATTAGGTCGATAAACTCGGGCGGCTCAGATTGCACACACGAGATGCAAATGCTGGACCACTGATCCTAGTGTAGCTTGAAGTGTAAGACGCAACATAGTGGTCCATCTAAGTACTAGCTGTGTTTGGTTGGACACTATTTGGCGTAAGTTGAAGCCCCACGAAAATTTCACTGATGTCATGGAGAGAGGTAGATGCCTTACCTCCTTAGAATTGATGGTATATATTGTAACGTGTAGGCAGTCGCTTCTCGGACCTCTCCCAGGTCACCCTTTGCAATTATGCGCGCATTTCTGTCTCACCAAATCCATACACAAGTCATATCGATAATGTTAGCATTGTTTATCTACCTATCGATATTCTTCCAAAACTATAGTTCATTTGTACATAAATTTTGGAATCTATTTGTCCATTTGAAGCGCGGAAGCAATCAGTGCTAGTAGGAAGGGAGAAATTCCCTCGTTCCAAAAGGATTTTTAATTTTGGACGAGTAATCGAAGGATGGGTCTTCTCTCTAGCTCGAATTACTTCAAAATTTGTGAAACCTTATGGCCAGTTTGACACATCTCTAGCTCTGAGATCTATGTTGGTTGTGTAGTTGTTAGATTAATTAAAGTGATTTAACTATTTTTATTTAATATAAAATATAAATATAAATAATAAGTCATGTAACTATAATTATAACCTGTTTATCACAACTCTAGCTCCAAGATCTATATTGGATCTATAGTTTATAGACTAAATTAAAGTGATTTAAATATTTTTATTTAATTTAGAATATAAATAAAATGAATTATTTGATCTCTAATTTTCTAGAGCTACGGGTGACCAGCTCTAATATATCCATAGATTTTCTAGAGCTAGAGCTTTGCCAAACAAAATCTTTAACATGTTTGCAGTTCTAGATTTATGCTATTTAGAGCTCTAATATATCCATAGATTTCTCATAATCTTTTAGAAAATCTATAATCTTTTTAGAGCTAAAGCTCTGTCAAACAAAATCTTAACTACGTGAGTACACCATGAAGGATATGTTAGACAGTAGAGCGGTGAGCGGTAAAAGCAAAAAATAAACATAGTACAGTGCCCTGCCTATATATACTCACAAAACTTCAGATCTTGTCACCACATCCTGATGACAAAAACTTCTGAAAACCCAAAGCAGAAAAAGGCAAATCTTGTGGCAACCAGTTCCAAAACCGCATCAAGAGAACAAGCAGTTTTGCTTTTGTTGGCCACTCCGTCCGTACCTCTCATTGCAGCCAAAAGCAACCCAATAATTGTTGGCTATTCACAGGCAAGTCCCTCTCCTCGTCTCCTACCTCTCGCCCTTTTCACCTCCCCGTTTTCTCCCCCCTTCCGTTGCCCAATTTTACTCAGTACTCACTGAGTGAGATCCATATAAACCAGGCAACCACCGCTGCGAGTCTCTCTGCCTCTTTCTTCCCTCTCTCTCTGGAACCAGGGTGGTTGTCAAGCGGTGTTGGAGTTGGGAGTCCTTGCAATTGGTACAAGAGCAAGAAGCAAGGACAAGGAGGGGAGAGAGGAGGAAGAAAGAGGGAAGAGAGCGAGGGGCACTAGAAAGGTGCTTGCTTTGTTTCCAGTTGCTTCCTCTCTCTCTCTCTCTCTCTCCTTGGGCGGGGGAGAGAAGCAGGAGAGGAGATGGGCGAGATGGTCGTGGCCGGGTATGGCATGGACAAGGCTCTGCGGGCCAGCGTCAGCTTCGACACGCCATGCGGCGCGCTGCTGCGCGAGCTTGAGGTTCGTTTCTCCCCGAGAAGCGAATGTACTTTTGGTTGTTTGTTCGCCGCGTCCTTGATTTTCTTGTTCCTTCGAATCATTTGGCAGTGGTCTGAATCAAAGGATTCAGGAATGAGGTGCTTCCTTGTTTCAGAGGAATTTGCGGCTTCTTTTTTCTTTCAAAAACGAACAAAGTTGCAGATTTTTTCCGTCATTTCGAGATTCTGACATCTTCATCATTTTTCAAGACACGTGCCTTTGAAGAGATGCTACGATTTTGAAGGAACAGTTGGAAATCTGTTGATTCTGCTGCTTGCAGCTTTCATCATTTGAGCTTTAATGGCACAACCTTCGATTGACTGTCGTCTTGATTTCTATCTTTTAAAGAAGCAAAGGGATACATGTGTTTACTTCTTCCTGCTGATTATAATTGTTCGAAGGACGAATGGATTTGGAGGACAAGAAGGCTTGAAATAGCATCAATGCTGTAACCCTTTAATGGTATAATTAGGAGCGTTAGGTAGTATGCACTGGCTCACACGGTATAATTAGGAGCGTTAGGTAGTATGCACTGGCTCACATAGCACAAGAAAGAAGAATATGCGATATTATGCTGATGTTTATTTTCATAAATAGCATAGTAGCATGCTCAAAATTGGATTTGTAACGAACCAGCTAGTAGTTCTGATAATGTAGCTCTCTGGTGCCTCATAATGAGGGGAAATAATGTAATGTTCCCCTTTTCGGAAGTTCTGGGAACTGAATATTTACCCTCTCTCTTTACAAACTAGTTTTTATTAAAGCAATGCTATCCAGAGAAGAGGGGTTTGTTAGAGTATGCCAAGTCACATTTTCATGCTGTCTCGTGGATGTTTGTTGTATGCTCTAACCTTAACTGTTTCAATTATTCTCTTTTGGGTGCATGTGATCAGTCTGTTCATTGATCCACAAGTAGGCACGTCATTTGCTTGCTTGCTGTGTCCCATTTCTTGAGTTACCTGGTAATATTGTTTCTAACAATAAGCCACGACTTTCCCATGAACAATCACCTAGTTTGTATTGATCAGATGAATACATTCCATATGAGTTTAGACATGTTCATCTTTCTTTTTTTTTGTTGCATGTAGTGATTAAAAATAGTGTTCAGGTGTTTACAAAGATTTTCTGGTTAGTAAAGTTTGTAACTTAATTTTGTACATTTCTTTGTCATGTCTGATCATCTGACAAGTGAACTTTGTTTCAGCAAATATGGACAGAGATTGGGGAGCGTGAACAAGATAAAGATCGCATGTTCCTTGAACTGGAAACAGAGTGCATGCGTGTGTACCGTCGAAGGTTGATAGTGCCAATGCTGAGAGAGCCAACCTCCGTCAGTCATTGATGGCCAAAGAAGCAGAACTTAAAGCTCTAGTTGCTTCTATCGGGGAAAATGGCCCACGATTTACGGTATATTTTGTCATAATTTATATTTAGCCTTTTCGACCTTTAATATGTTATCGTGTATCATGTAATTCTCAGTTTTGTTTTTCCTATCAAGCTGGGTATATTGGAAGGTGCGTTGTTTACACCGAGTAATGAAATCATTTGTTGATGTCATGCAGCACCTTGTGTAGAATATTTGATATTCTGCTGGTTGGCTGTCTTTTTTAGTTAATGATGAATAGACAGCATAGTGAGTAGTGACATCCGCAGCTGTGTCATTCAGTTGTTGCATAGTCATGTCAGATGGGTACAGTAGAAAATAGTACGAAAATTGGCTCGTGGGACCAATTTTTTGTAGATTACAATTGTAAAGCGTGCTGTCAGTTGAAGAATTACTGAACATGATGTTTTCGTATAATTTAAACCTACCTAGATGGTGCATGTGGATTATTTCATTCGGGCCCAAAAGGTGTACTAGGAAACAATGCTGTGGGATCTTCTGACTCACAACTGCCACATGCATTAGATACTGCTAAAAGAAGTAATTTTCTTATGGAATGTTAGCATAACAATACCATTATAAAATATACCAAAGAAGCTAAAATATTATTACGTTTTTATGTATCCTAGTTACTAATGTCATATATGTAAGTGCCCAAGTAAAAAATCAGGTAGCTGAGATCATTGTATAGACTAAAGTAAATCAGCATGTTCCATTTTCTTTTTTTTTCATGAGATATTCATTTGTAGGTGGATGAAAAGCACACATCGTTGAAAGATCAACTTGCTGCAGTGACACCTCTCTTGGAAGATCTTAGAGTAAAGAAACAAGACAGAATCAAACAAATCTCAAATGTGCAATCTCAAATCGAGAAGATAAAAGCACAAATTTCTGATCACAATTATCAGGACAGTGATGGTTCCATCAAACAACTTAATGATGATCTTGACTTGTCTACCAGAAGAATTTCTGATCTTCAAATGCAACTGCGTAATCTACAGAAGGAGAAGGTAATGATGATCTTAGCTTAAAATGTTTATTTGTGGAACTTGCTTTGATTCAATATTTCAGATAGATATAGGTTGAACCATCAAAATTGTTCAAGTGTAGCCAATATATTTCTTGGCTATGCTATATTAAATAAAGAAAAATAATTCTCTCCTTTCTTTTTTTCAGTCTGATCGTCTTCAGAAGGTTTTTATATATGTGGATGAAGTGCACTGCCTATGTGCAGTGCTTGGGATGGATTTTGCAAAGACTGTAAAGAGGTCCACCCAAGTTTGCATGGAGCCAACTCTGAAAATTCAACAAATATTAGTGATAGAACTCTTGAAGGTCTTACTCAGACTATCCTGAAGCTCAAAGCAGAAAAGAAGACAAGAGTTTTAAAGGTGATTCCTTGTACTAGAACTGGCGTTGGTAGCTCATTTTTGTTTTGTTAGCTTCTCTAACAATTTGGTGAATGTGTTCAGTTGCAAGAGACTGTAGAAAAACTTCACAAGTTATGGAATCTGATGGAGTCAACTGAACAAGAGAGGATTAACTTCTCTGAAGTAGCTGCTGTTCTTGGATCTACTGAGGAAGAGATCAATTCTCCAGGCATTCTGTCATTGGAGACAATTCAGGAGAATGCACGGCAACTATTTGTTACTTTAATTGTCTATTGACAAGATGATTTAATTCTCAGTAGCATTATCTGTATTGAATTCTTCAGACTGAAGAGGAAGTCGAAAAGGCTAACTATACAAAAAGCTAGTAGAATGAAGGAGCTTGTTCTCAAGAAAAGGTTAGAACTAGAAGACATCTGCAAAATGCACACATGGAGCCTGATATGAGCACAGCACCAGAGAAGATCATTGCGCTGATTGATTCCGTATGTGTGTTAAGATGACATAAAATTGAAAAATCGCTGATGGGTCATTTTTTTGAGTAATCTAAGAATACTCCACATTCAGGTTTAGTGGATCCTGCGAACTCCTTTCCAGCATTGAAGTACAAATAACAAAAGCAAATGAAGAGTCCTTAACGAGGAAAGATATCATGGGAGAGTGGATAAATGGCTATCAGCTTGTGATGAAGAGACTTGGCTTGAGGAATATAACCAAGTAATATTCTTTTCTGCACTAAAAGATTATACCTCAGGGTGCATTGATTGAATATGGTTCCAGCCTTTTCCTTCATTGGCATGTTAGTATTGAGCATTCATATTGCCTAACAGCATATAATGTGCATCTCGGCTATAATTTATATTGTTAATGACATCTTAAATGTTTACTTGGATCCTTCTGCAGGGATGATAATAGGTACAGTGCTGGCAGGGGTGCCCACTTGAATCTCAAGCGTGCAGAAAAGGCAAGGATAACTGTCCAAAAGATTCCAAGTGAGTCTTCATTTCCCAGATGCTAACAATATCAACTTCAGTTGAGCATGCTGGTGCTACTAGTCAGTGTCAATGGGATCCAAATCTAGCAAATTGACATATAACGTTATTAGTGTAAATCAGCTGATGTACTCCTAACTCAACCTGCTTGCCTCTTGCAATATAAACTCCTTTTTTGCAGCTATGATTGACAACTTGATAGCCAAAAAACTTTTGCATGGGAGGACGAAAGAAAATGTGCCATTTTATATGATGGAGTAAGTCATGAGCTAATTGACCATATTTATCATAAATCAGGCTGAGTAGTTCTGTTCTATATAATGAGGAATATTGAATTTGCATGTGAAGGTCCGTTTGGTTGCCATTTTGGAAGAGCAGAAACTCAGAAGGGCACAAAGGGAGGAAGACAAGAGACGCTACCGGGTATAAATTAATACCAGTACTCTTTTTGGTACTGCAACCTCAAGAAAATATCCCTTGCACCTATAATTACTGACTAAATCTTCATTCCAGGACCAGAAGAAGCTGCAGAGTTTATTGCTTAAGGAGAAGGAGTTGATTTTTGGGTCCAAACCTAGTCCTAAAAAGACAAGCAGCTTCAATAGGAGGACAAGCAACCACCATCCAAATTCAAATGGCGCTGGATTCATGACTCCGGTGCCACGCCGAGTTTCAGCTGGCAGTGCCACCCCAGAGCTTCTAACCCCACGCTCATATTCTGGCCGGTACAACTACTACTTCAAGGAGAACAGGCGTCTGACAACCGCACCGCTAAACTTCTCAGTCGGTTCCAAGGAGGATAGCATGTCATCCTTTGCATCCATTAGTGGCTCGGAACCTGATTCGCCATTGTTTTTGCACTAAGTGTGAGATTTCCAAGAGTTTCGTTGCAGTGGTTTCCAAGATCTCACAGAGTTTGTTGCTTGAAGCTCTGCTGATCCTGGTTTTCAACTGTGACTGTTTCAGATTGGTTAGGGAGGAGACTTCAGGGTGAGAAGGATGGATAGCCTCAAGATTGGACCATTGTGTGGTAGCTGTTAACATTGCTGATGGGTAACAACAGGTTGTGACAAATTTAGATGAGATTGCTTGTACATATAATATCTAACATTCATGGTTCTGCTGTACTTCCAAATTTAAGCCGTAAGTCGTTTGGTTAGGAAGCATGCAATGCCTAAGTGTGCAATGTATTTGTTTCGTGCTAAGTGTGTATTCTTTCTTCCTTTCCCTTTTCGGGGCTCTGTACTACAGGCCGTGTATGTTTGCATGTGAAGAAAGGGTGATTTTGTCAATGATGTAGCAGCTCAGCCTTAAAGGCTACAGCTACAGCATCTTGTCTTGTACTTGTCGTTTGGATCACAGCTAGCGTGTGCTATATAGGAATCTAACACCCATCTTTTGTCAGAGCAAAAGTGTCTTGCATGTTGGATCTCAGTTCACACATGTTGTCAATCGAGATGCTTTGAAAGCGTCACATGGATATCCAGGTTACTCTTCATTTGATACTTAGTGCCCAGGTCTTCAGTAGCATGATGAGTTGCTGGTTGCTGCAATTGAGTTCAAAGGAGATTACTATCCGTAACAGTCAGCAATTTGTTATAACCAACATTGGTCAATACCAATCGCAAAAGAAGGGATATCCAGTCCAGACTACTCTTTAAATTTCATCTGATACTTGAGTGCCAAGATCTTCAGTAGCAGGATGAGTTGCTGCAATTAGAGTTCAGAAGAGATTACTATCCAGGCATTTTGTTACAACCAGCATCAGTCAGTACCAATGGCGAGAGAAGTGCATGGCTTCGGTAAAAAAACAGAGAGAGAGACCCAAGGAAAGAAAGTATGCTTCTCGCATTCACCTTGGTCCTGAGGTTCCCAGATATTATCCATACTACTGACATTCGAAGCAGAACCATCCGAAGTATTTTTGTAGAAGTTGATAAGAAGACTTCTCATTCAGATGTATAAGGACTTAAAAGCACCACCATCTAATCTATCTGGTCGCTTTCGGTGCAACATTGGAGCCTAGCTGAAGCCCCAAACACTGCTATCCAACACATTCTTCCCCACATGGTATCTGCAAAACAACCAGCGATAGCCGATAAAGAAGTCAATCATTCAGTACGCGATACTAAAACAAATAGTAATTCATAATCAATTAAGTAGAAAGGAGGTATGGACTGGTGTGTGCCATGATAATTCACAATGGGAGTTTTATGATTGAGCTAGTCAAATTTCTATCCTTTCTTTATGAAATTTTCTAAACAAGAATTACTAAGAAAATAGTTGTTCCAAAGACAAGCACCGCTTATAACAAACCAGTGAACCACTATAGTACTCATCACAAGAACTGCTAAGAATCTGTTAGTTTGCAAAGAGCCCCAAATTTATTGTGGTAGTTTGCATTACTAAAAAAATAAAGACGAGTATTATATCATAGTACAACACCATAATACTCTGTTTACAACTGACAGCTATGGCAGGCATATTTTTTAAAAAAGAACAACAGGAGGGCAAGCCCTATTGACTATATATTAAAAAGAAAGAAGTTTGACTACAAACAACAGATAAAAAAATCAAAAGAACAGAAGAAACAGAACTTTAGTCTAGCCATTCCTCAATTCTAGGAAATACTATGCCTTTCCCGTAAGGACAATCATGGTGAACTCATGGCAGAACCTTGCTTTGCATGTATCAAGGTCCACATCAGTAAAGATGCAGCCATTACAAACAGTGCAGATGCTCCAAGCTATTAGGACGACAAACTGTATGGCAAGCATATATCAGGAAACACCAATATCCATGAACAGTTCAGAACTCCAGCTGTTTCATTTTAGGTCATGCTAGTGGTGAGAACCACACTAAGGGCATGTTTGGATTTTGACACTAGCTGGCCAAGCCAAATTTTGGCCATTGCCAAGTCAGGTCATGGACCTCCAGAGGCACCGATCGTGAAGTGGAATCCTAAGCCAGGATAGTAATGTGAAGAGAGACAGGAGGAGGAAGGCCGAAGTTGACTTGGGTAGAGGTAATAAAAGGAGACTTGAAATAATGGAATATACCCAAAGACTTAGCCTTAGATAGGAGAGTTTGGAAAATAGCTATTCACGTGCTCGAACCTTGATTGCTTCTTTGGGTTTCAACTCTAGCTTCACCTCAACTTGTTTGGGACTTAAAAGGCTTTGTTGTTATTCTTTTCTTGCCGCCGTAAGTCGAGTCATGACCAAAATTTGGTCAGGTTACATGTGTTTGGATAGTGGTCAAGCCAAAATTATAAAACATGACAAAATATATTATAGTTACATGTAGAAACCATATATCATTATTTGAAAAGTATCAAATAGAGTTAATATGGGTCTTGGTTTGTAGATTTAATTGTGATGAGGAATGCAAAGTTATAAAAGGATTTGTAATCTTTTTTTGAAAACATAAAAGGATTTGTAATCAGACAGAGAGTTTAGCATAATCGCAAAAAAGAGAGTTTAGCAAATATTACGCTTTGAAGCTCAGCAATAATAAAAGAAACACATTTATTACAACCACACTTAGTTGATGCATCAGCTACTTGTCTTCATTGATGCCTGCCAAATTCCGGCCGCCAAATTTGCCAGCCCGGCATGGTCTGTGCTTCCTATTGGCTGTAGATTCGCCAGCCAAAATTTCATTGGCCTTGCTAAATTTTGGCTTCGATCCAAGTCAGCCAGATTACCGGGGCAAGGCCAAAGTTTGGCTCAGCACTTCAGGGCAAAAGCCAAATGAGCCCTAAAGTACCGAGGTAATTCTAGAATCATCATATTAATTAATATACCAAAGTAATTTTAGATTCATCATATTAATTAATACATCCATATGTCCCAGACTCTCAGTTAGCTAGAATTCTTCATTTCAAATGGGGTGTGAATACCCTATAGATTACCTACGTGAGGATAATATACTCTTATTTTTTTTTTTTTTGGCTATGATGCCTTTCTAGCTCAACCAGCAAACTTTAGATTCTCAACCAATCTCGCTTTTGCAGCATTCAGCAAATGGTCCCTTATTTATAAGACAAGACAAGTTCTATTTTACTTATACAAAAAGAAACTTCATCACAGTACTGGTCCACTGCACATAAGTTGAGGCAAAATTCTACATCTGAACAAATCTGGAACTTAGCAAAAGACTCTGAATAGGTTAATAACATATGCTGGGAAGGCTAGTGGTGAACTGGTGATGAAGGTAAGCCTGGTAAGTAAAAGATCTAACAAAGATCAGATCAAAGTACTGCTACTAAAAATCCAAGAACATAGCAAAGGCCATGAAAGGTGAATAACTTGCTGGTAAGGCTGCTAGCAGTGATGAAGGGAATTATATCTGGACATTGATATTATAACCAAATAAAAGTAAAAAATGCATAGTCCAAGAAGTCTGCAAATGCATGAACATTGAACACATTGCCCCAATATATATTGCTCTAAGTGACTTCAAAATGATTACTCAGGGCTAGAAGTAATGGTAGATCCAACTTCATACATAAAGCACTTGATGTTTATAATGAGAACAAGTTATAACCTTCCATGTGACGAAAACATAAGTGTGCTTGCTCTCAGTACAACACTACAACAGGTTCATGTAATGCTCCAAACAACATCAACTAGCATTGATCCTAACATTCACATTGGATCATATGTGCTGGCAGACTAAGAATCAAAGATAACAGGCCATTGCCATTTAATAATCAATAGACCAGGTTGAACTAGTTGGTTTGTTGCTGATACAGGTAAACCATGTTCACAATTACATACACTAGTATTTATCACCTTCACCAAAAAAAACCTGTGAGATCACCATCTGAAACTGCTAGGCGACAGCTTTCTGAATCCTACTGCAGTGAAACGAGACTGCACTGTATAGTCTATCAGAATTCAGGATAACACAACAAGATGACTTCTTGGCTCCCAGCCAGAACCCAATAGTGCAGATAATCAGTGCATCCCAGGACGGTGGTACATTTACCTTTCAAAGTCAAGCTCTTGAGGTATGCTGGATCTTTCTTGGCTCGCTCCTGGAACTTGCGGAACCACCGGTCCAGGATGTCCGTGGGCACTACCAGCTTGCCGCCGTCGGCACCGCAGAACGATTGCATGAAGTTGAACAGGTTCTCGCCGACACGGGCGCGACACGCGCTCGGCGCGCTGCTCGTCAGGGGCGGCGGCAACACGGCCGCGTCCTCCACGGCGACACCCAGCTTAGCGGGGCCCACAGCAGGCTCCTGCTCGTCGCCGGCCTCCCGGAAGCCAGGAAGCTGGCCGAGGGGCGCGTGGGCCCGA